CAAAAAATGCGATGGAGAGGAAACGGCTAGCACTTCGCAAACTAAATGCGATAGCGGCCAACCTCACAGATTGAAACCGCGCACAAAAAGCAAATGACTGAAATTTACGCCTTTCTGGATCGCCGGGAATTCTTCAATACGGATTTGACTAATGTCGGGATTATAGCGGTTCCTCGTTATATTTGTACATAGAATATCAAGCGTTGAAAGTATTATTACAATTGAAAACTTTAAATCATACTTTTGGCCACGTACTGCCGTTTTTCGAGCCCCATCTTCTCTTAAGTTCAGACGTGGCCGGCGTTACAAGCTGACGGGGCCAATCAGAAGGCGCCAAGAGCAGACAATTAGTGTGTTTGTCATGATTTTGTTCCAGTTCTAACATCGCTGAACCAATCAAGGAGAAAATGTGAAGTGACTTGCTCTTTCGACGCATCTGGATGTCCCATTAGCTCGTAGCGTTGCCTGCGTCTGGACTTAAGACGAAACGAAGTATATACAGCTTTCACCCCTAAGCTGACAGTGCAGTGGGAGCTACTTGCTCACTGGGCCAATTAGCCGCTTCCTTTTTATCACCTGGCCCCGTTCTCTGGGCGTCGGTAATAGCCGATTCACACGACGGACCGAATCGCAATTTTCGTCCGCGGACCGTGTACCACGTGACCGGTACGTCACCGATTCCTGCGATCCGCGCCTCGTCCGCGGAGGCGCGGACTGATAAAGTCGAGTGCCTTTTGCACTCGCGGACGTTTGGCGGGAGCTTGACCTGGAACGTGTTTAGTCTGGCAACGGTAAATTGTTTTTTTGGTTTTTTGCTTCTGGGCGTTCAAAACAAAAATGGCGCATCGTTTCGTTTTGTGCGCTCGTTGGTTCATTTTGACGCGCGATTCTTGGTTCCACGAGTGAAAGAAACTCCAGAAACTTGTCTGGCTGACGTGACGCAGGCTTCGGTACTCCTCGGGGTCCGTGTCATGAAGCTCCCGTCAAAACTCGTCTAGCACGCCGCGGTAATTCTTGCACGCCCAATCAGGATTTCACCGAACAAGACCTCTCTTGTGGCTGTGGTGTGCTTGAGTGTTGTGCACGAGCGCGGAGTGCGTGAAGGCACCTCCAAACGTCCCTCCACGAGCCCAGATCTTCGTCGCGTCTACGCCGAAGCTTTCTCGAGCAGGACCATGCCTGTGTCACTGTCATGCTGTGGGTTAGTGAAGTTAGTGGCGCTTGGTGCGAAGCCTGCCCCGGTGTTTTGTCTCGAAATCTGCGTAACAGCGGCGTACAATTCTTAATCACGGTAGCGAACGTCGATTTCTCTCTTGGACAACGGTGCCACGGTGCGATGTTGGAGTTTCGCGGCACTGTGGGGTGTTGAACAGGATCGGTCTGTCCTCGCTGGCGTCTGCTCGTCGTCTCCCTCGTGTGGATGCGCTTGGGAGACGGATGAACCGCGGACATGTCATCACGTGATCAATCCGTCCGCGGATCAGTCCGTCGTGTGAATCGGCTATAAGTGCGGGAGCGGGTTCACGTGGGGAAAGATATACGATTGTATAGGATCCAACCAGCACGCAGGTTCCACGGCACTGACAGCTTAGTAGCGAATGATTGTAACGGAATAATTTCTTGCGTCCCGTGACTATTTTATTAGTTAGACCCGTGGTCATTATTACCTTTGGTTGCTCTTAAAGGGAAACTGCACCGCTTCCTGAGATAATCTATTTATGGTCATAACTCAAGCTATGGGGCCTAACCATCCTAAACAACAAACGCATTACATTCGTACATGGCCGAGTTTTCCATTAACATTCGTTTAGAAAGATTAACACTTTCGAAGCTAGCGCAGACACCAGACGGCGCTGTCACAAACGGCTAGCACTTCTTCCGGTTGCGCCATCTGGCGTCGATCTTTTAATAAGGACTTTAATAGAGAAATCGTCCACGCATGAATGTAACGTTTGGTTGTTTAGAATGCTTAAAGCCCAATTATTTTGTTATGACCATAAATAGACTACTACAGAAAGTCGTTTAGTGCCCATTTCTCAAACTCGTGGAATTGTTTTTCGTTGCACTATGTAACCATCTGTTCGTACGGACGATCTTTGCGTCGAAATAACGCATTGTTTCGCAGAACAGTGAAGCCTCGTGCCTATCCAGTTCCATTCGGGCGTCCGAGTTTGCATATTCCCGCGTGCAGGAGGCGGGGTATTCGAAAGACACGCCCTGTCGTTCTAATCCAGTGAAATACTCTAGAGTACTTCACAGGATTAGAACGGCAGGGCGTGTCTTTCGAATGCCCCTTTCTCCAGCACGGGGTTCAATCCCCTACCCCGTGGTTTGGGTGTGCGTGCAAGGCTTAGGTGCAACAAACACCTGTTGAAAGTACGAATATCCCAAGCTGAAGGCGTTACAATCGGAGGACCTTCCTACCGTTCTTGTCCTCTCCTTGATTCCGTTCTTCTCGACACCTATTGTTAGTGACAGGTTCAGAGTTCAGGGAAAGTTCCTTTCAAACCTCTGCACTTTAGCAGAGCGAACACTGGGGAGGAGTTCGCTCCACCTCCAGCGGTCGCTCTGCTAAAGTTGAAACAGGTGGGAGGAGCTCGTCCTCGAAACCTGCCACTGACGATATCTCTCAAGGTATCAATGTATGCAGCGTTCTCCGCCAATATCTCCTCGTACGATCTAGATATAATTGCAGTAGCTTACCGCGACCCTTGAAACCATCCCGTTCTGCGGAATCGTGTCTGTCCAATTATTCTAATGTTAGAATTGAATTATGCGTGCCAGTCACTTTTCTGGACCAAGCTAGAAAATATTTCCGAAAAACGATAGTGGGAGAGATAAAAACGAAATAGGCCGCGTTTAAGAATCATTATAATGATCCCTATTTCTTTTTTGAGGTACCATCATAATTTACCAATTCAGGACACCGTTTTTTTTTTGTAAATCAATATTCTTTTTACTTATGCGAAACTATTTGTGTCCCCTGGTGAACGCGGAATTACTTTTTTAAGCTACTTTGTTAAGCTGTCTCTTATAAGCGGGGTGTTTTTTTAAGCGTAACATATTTCTTTAAAAAAAGTCACGAAAGCTACACTTTTAAGGTTTGTGCAGGTAAGGTATACGGTCAGAAGACATAGTATGGGGGCTAAGTGTAACAATCAGTCGGCGAATTAAGTATAATTTGTTCATTACATCTTTAATTAGTAAAAGTTTGCATATTGTACGAATTATAAACTTGCTAAACCTCATCGAAAACCACTAAATCATTAATTTTTAGAGAGAATTCGAACGCCGGAGAAGAGCAGCAGTGTATTAAAGTTAGCACTCGTGCACCAAGAGCAAGGCTACCGGTGCGATAACGCGCCCAGGCTATTTATCCATCTCTTAAAGGGAAACTCCACTTCATTTTCTCCTGTGAGAAAACAATGCAACTCTCTTTATTATCATCTAGAGAGACCGCATGTCAAGTATTAGAAAGTAATACAATCTAAAAGACCGTGAAACCGGCCAACAAAGACTATGATGCCCGAAGACACCAAAATCCGCTAATTTAGCAGGCGACGTGCTGCGCAGCAAACAATGCATTTCCGTTTCCGTTGCTGACGTCTGTTACATACGTTTTGTTTTCTTGGTATTTTCTTTTCTAAGGAGCGCTGCCGCCGCTACCGGCGCTACCGGCGCGCTGCGCTGCCTCGGCTCTGGCTTCGGCCCACTGGCTCGCTCTGGCTCCTCTGGCTCGGCGCAGGCAGGCGGGCAGGCAGAGAACAGAGAGCCGCGTGCCTTTTTACAGTTTGCGCCGTGGTGTGTGCGGTTTTGACTGTCTCCGATGCCTGGCGCCTAGGTGTGATGGCCGGTAAAGGGCGGAAAGGCAGGGGCACGCGATGTTGTGTCGCCGCCTGTTCTCGCTGCCAGCTGAGCAGCCCGGGAGTTATTTTCCATTCGCTTCCTGCCGACACTGAACGTCGGAAACTGTGGACGGACGCCGTGCACCGATCGGGTTGTGAGAAGCCCCTGTCGCCGACGGCCCGGTTATTAATCTGCTCCGACCATTTCTTGCCGGAGTGCTATGAGCGAGATTTACGTTTATTAGCGGTCACTGGCTTCTCGACAAAGTACGCGAAGTTGAAGACAGACGCCGTGCCGTCCATCTTCCCTGGCAGAGCACCTTCCGAAGACAGCTCATGCGTGAAACGTCGTCGGACCCGAGTACGTACATTCGTCGGTTACTTAGTGCGTACTCAGTGCTCTCGAAAGCGCCAACACGTTGCATCGTTTCAGCAGAGTGCGAGAGATGACTGCGCGCATCGCCGCACTGCGCGCATTGCCGGCAAGATTGGAAGCGCAGCTCGCTTTTCATCTCTGGCTTCGCTCGCACTTCCGCTGAAACCGCACCGTCTGGCATGCGTTTTTACCTGTTCTATAAAAACCATGCGCGCTATAATCAGGAAACACAGTGAATATCCTCTTGTGAAACAGCTGTGGAGTTTCAAGATGAGCTATATGGAGAAACTAAAACGGCCAAGTTTTGCTAAAACTGATTGTTTTTAAATGTAAGGAAACTAAAGTGGGTAGGTTATACCAGCAATACCACTGTAGTACATGAGGCAACAGGCCCAAGGCTAATCTGTTGAGCAAACAATCGCTTTTGCCTCGTGTTCTCTTGAGGTACATTTGAGTCATGAAAACAACAAAAATAACTCCGCACTTGAAACCAAACAAAATATGGTTTTCAAGATCCAGTTTTACGAAATTTCTTTTATCAAATAAGGGATCTACAGGAATTCTCAATAGTTTTATGGCTAAAAAGTTCACACAGAAAATGAATTAGTACTGCCTATGTTGAAGTTTATTTGAACTGCTTCTGCACTTCCTATAAAGCAGGCTTTTATAGGATTTTGAGTTTCATGGCCAAATGAAGAGTACTAAATATTGTTTGATTGCGTTCACAGAGTGGAGACCAAGATACAGCTGGGCAACTCAGCAGCACAATCTTGGCACATGATGGTTTGCTGGCAGGCACTACACTGGACGACGCCTCTGACAGAGGCCCAGAAGCGCTGTCGTCGCAAAGTGAACCTGCTAGCCTCCACCTGGATCCACTTGGTGTAGAATGCCCAATCCCAGTATGTATTTTGGCCTCCATTGTTAGTGGTGTTTGGTGTGCCTGCAGATGCTATCACTTGGTGCACCACTCTTACAGGAAAGAGACCGAGCATGCAAGAGCAGCACATTGGCCACGGCAAGGGAAACTCTGCATTTGGATGTGTCGCCCAATGATGCCTCCGAAAAAGACCGAGACCATGAGGCATCACATACTGGACCTTCTGTCATCCAAGTGGATCCAGCTAGTGCAGAATGCCCAATCTCAGTATGTATTTTGACCTACATTGTAACGTGCTGTTTGGTGTGCCTGCTATCACTTGGTTCACCACTCTTACAGGAAAGGGACCGCACATGGAAGAACAGCACGTTATCCACAGCAAGGGAAACTGCATTTGGATGCGTCGCCCAGTGATGCCTCCGAAAAAGACGGAGCCCACGAGGCGTTGCATAGTGGACCTTCTGTCGTCCGAGTGGATCCAGCTAGAGCAGAATGCCCACTCCCAGTATGTATTTCTGCCTACATTGTTACGTGCTGTGTTTGGTGTGCCTCCAGATGCTATCACTTGGTGCACCACTCTTACAGGAAAGGAACCGAGCCACTTCAGTGGCGTCGCAGGTTGCAAGCTCGAGTGAACTTACGTGCGTGTATGTCATCCGGCCACCCACATGCAGTACATGGAGCCAGACATGTTCAAAAAGGCTAATAAAAGGTGCCTGCACAGTAAGAATTTTGAAGAATGTATCCTAAATATCACGATTTTCATGTTCCAGGTACACAGACGCCAAAGTCTTGGTATGTCAGCAAAGGCATACAAACAGAAAAACCTTCGCAAACATCGGTTGAAATTCAGGCGTCGACCACATCCTCCGGTATGTGATGCAGTGTCTTTACATAGGCTTACATTGGAGAGAAGAGATCATAACTGAATTTCATTTGCAATGCACTTTTGTTGCAGATGCATTGCACAGCTGTCTTCGTCCCGAGGACGAGTCCGTTTCGGAGGTGGCAGGCCCAAGTCCCCTGGGAGATGAGACCGGTGCCCCAGGACATCTACAAGCAGCAGAAGGAACTCAGGGTGAGCACTTACACGAAATTGGAACAAAACAATGAATAACTGTCTCTATGCTTATTCCTACTGTGTAGCAGAAGCAACCTTCGCACAACACGAGCAGCCACTTCAGCGGTGCTCTACGCCTATTAGTGGCACAGTCCCCAGCTCTTTGGACTTGGACGGCACTCCTCAGACTTCGCAGCCCGACACCGATCCTGTGGACATGAGCGATGAGGAGAGCAACTCTGAGGACATGTACAGCGATGCCCTGGACACCAGCTATCGGCCAAATGATTCGATCGACTCAGATGAGGAACTGGATTCTCCAGACACTAGTCCCTGGAACGACTCCGTGACCTCGGATGATGAAGGACCTGATGCGTATGTGCTCACTGTACCTTCTCGAAACCATAATTTTATGCTACAAATAGGATATAGCTTTGATGTTCTGGATTTCGAGTGTTAAGTCCTAAATGATCACCTAACACAGGGGCTTCAGAAGTATATCTGATGCGTGGGGGCAACATCCGGGGGCTTATGTTGCATCGTATAGTTCACCTCTCTCTCTCTCTCTTTATATATATACCGGGTGATTCAAGGAGACGGCAGGCTCTTTAAATCGACCGGAAAATTCGGTTTCCTAACCTATCGCGCTACGACTTTGTGCAGCGTTGCCCACAGATGGTGCATTTTTTTTGTAAAATTTGCGAAGAGCGAACTTACCTGAGGAAAAAGTAAAGAAAGAAAAAGGCTTAGCTCCTATGGAAACGCAGCGACGCCACCGGTCTTCAAACAACACGGTGCCGTTTCGCACAGGACACAAGAGATGACGCAACGAACGAGCGTACGGCGCCGAGAGCCGGCCTCTTTAGCAGACAATCTTTTCGACTCAAAAGCGGCGCGCGTTCCGCGGGCGGCGACAGTCGCAAAAACAAAAACAGGTGCGGTAACAACAGGGAACTGCACTGCAGTTCCTTGTGTGCTAAATATGCCGGCTCTCGGCGTCGTCTGCTCGTTCGTTGGCGGCAGTTGGCGTCGCGACCGTTTGCGCCATCTCTTGTGTCCCGTGCGAAACGGCGCCGTGTTGTTTGAAGACCGGTGGCGTCGCTACGTTTCCAGCCTTTTTCTTTCTTTACTTTTTCCTCAGGTAAGTTCGCTCTTTGCAAATTTCACAAATACAATGCACCATCTGTGGGCAACGCTCCACAAAGTCGTAGCGCGATAGGTTAGGAAACCGAATTTTCCGGTCGATTTAAAGAACCTGCCGTCTCCTTGAATCACCCGGTATATCAACAGCAACTGACGAAGCACAGTGCAGAAAACTGAAGGCTGCAGTCTGATAGAATCTTTGGAGATTGATTAGTGAGAACGCACATATTGTTCAAACAATGAATGACAACTTCAAACGAACGGATTAACAAGGCTTCCAAAGAAAGAATACATGTCACCAACTACTGATTAGCTTGTGGCACCTCGTCATCTATGGAGTGCAGCCTGCTTCAACAGCCTTACGGGTGGTGAGAGGGGGGGGGGGGTCGGAACAGCTTTTAGGGTGGGGGCATGCCCCCTGTGGTGTAGAACCTGTGGGGCAACTGCCCCCCTGGTTCCGGAGCCCCTGACCTAACAACGAGTGAAAGCGTAGAGGAAATGGAAAAAACACAGCTTCTGAAGCAAGTTTTAAATGCACTGCTTGTTTTGTTTTGCAGAGAGTGCAGCACCTCTGCCACGACCACCAACCCCGTGAAAGAAAGGAAGTTCATCGTCTGCGCTTCAATGCTCCTACAGTTGTTTTCGGTCTGTAGGGAATGCTTGGCTCCTACACATACAAGTTTGAAGGAACGGGGGACCTTGCTGCATGCCGTGACTGTGTGTGTAAGGGGCCACAAGACTGTCTGGGAAAGCCAGCCGAGGATTAATGGGAAGGCATTGATGAATCTTCTCCTACCCGCCGCCATTACATTCTCTGGGGCCAGTCCTACACGAGTTATTCGTCTCCTGAGCTCTGTAGGTGTTGCCGTTCTTCAAAAGAGCCAACTCTTCCTGATTCAAGGCTGTCTGGTGTTCCCTGCCGCTGCAAAGGTGAGTACACCTGCCTAGAGAATTGTTGGTCAAACATGTATCTCTTTGTGTTGAGATTGATGTTATATTTCTGTATTTCAAAGGTATGGAAAGAAGAGAAGACCACCCTCCTTACAGCGATGCGTGGCAGCAAGCTTCACCTGGCAGGCGACGGCCGTGCCGATTCTCCCGGCTACTCGGCGAAGTATGGCACGTACACGCTGCTGGAAACAAACATCAACAAAATCCTACACTTCGAGGTTATCCAGGTAAGAACTGGCTAAGTAGAAAATTGCCTACTTCAATTGAGTTATTTATCTTGTTACCTTTCGTTTATAACTAAGTAGAATATTTGTTTGGGTATTGTTTATGTAGAGTTGTGCGAATATTTGAATAGTAGTTTCGAAAGATACGATATTCGCTTCGACATGAACTGGACTATTCGCGTTTTTCGAAGTCTTGATTGCGGCGGGTTAGCTCCGTTGAGTGCACTTCTTACCGAGCATCAGTGCACTAGCAATGCCCGCGGAAGCGCGCTCCGCAAGTAACGCTTCTCTGCATTGCATCTGTGCTCGGTAAGAAGCGCACTCAACGGGGTAACCTGCCGCAATAAAGACTTGGAAAAGTATAAATATCGCAATTACGTGCTTGGAAGAAAAGCATACATCAAAGCGGGATGGTGCACGCGTGCCGGCTGTATTTGAAAATAAATGGAAAATTTGTGAATGTGTATATCTACATTGTAGAAAAATTTCAAAATTAAACAGACTGTTATGCAAGATTATAATATGTTAGGCAAAGATGCCCTTACAATCTGCATTCAGCATGCGCGATTCAGTATTTTTAACCCGAGATTAACGAAAGAACATTTTATATAGCAAGATTTGTAAATTCACTCAATTGGGTATAGTTGGCCATCTCTATAGGATTCATTTTATGTCAAATCCGTCGTTTACTTGTCATCCCAAGACATCAGACCTTCCGAGGTCACAGTTCATAAATATAGATAAATTAAACTCAGCTTTTAAATGAACAAGTGTTCTATATTTTGTTACCTTTTCTTTTTACATCAGTCAACAGAAGTCAAGTCCAGCAACAACATGGAAACCGAGGGCCTCAAACGTTCCTTCGACCATCTCCAGGGCTGGGGGTTCTGCCCGCATGTGCTCGTCACGGACCGCCACTTTGGGGTGAACGCCCTGATGAAGAGCAACTACCCCAACACCAAGCACCGTTTCGATGCATGGCATGTTGCCAAAGGTAACATTACCTTACCAAACGGATTACGTAGTACAAGTGATGCTGAACTTAGTTTTTAGCTAGCTTGGTGCTGCCATTTGTTTTAGTCTGTTGAACATATATGTATATTGTCATTCAAAATGCATTGTTACTCTGCTTGCCATGCACACACCTTTTCTAATTTTAAGGCATCGGGAGCAAGCTGGCCCTCGCGGGGAAAACAAAGCGCAACAGCCTGCTAAACAAGTGGGTCAAGACTGTCCGGGCACACGTTTACTGGTGTGCCCAAACCAGTGATGACAATGGTGCACTGGTGCTGGCCAAGTGGATGTCCTTGATGCGCCATGTGGACAATGTGCACCAGCATCCCGACCCGCTCTACCCTGCTTGCACGCATGCCCCAATCGTTGAAGAACGCTGTGTCTTCATAAGGGTAATGTTGACATATACCAGGGAATTTACAGTGTGCATCATCCTTACCATTTAACCTGGTGCTGTTTCTAACTGCAGGAACTGAGCCGTACGACGCCCTCGAAAAGGTGGTAATGTCACGACAGCTGCTGAAGGACATCCCTAAGCTGTCTGGAGATGGCCAGACGTACCGGCTCGAGTCCTTTCACAGCCTGCTGCTACGATTTACCCCGAAGTCGAGCCACTTCAGTCTGGAGGGCATGGAGGCACGGTAGGTTGAGATTTTGAAGTATTCTAGGGCAACGAGGTTCCCTTTTATGTTTGTAGAATGGTGAAATATGCTAAGGACATATTCTGCCTATTTTGCGTGGCCTTCACAGGACTGCCATTGCTGTCCTTCATTACAACGCCAACTCGGACCGAAAGCAGGCCACAACCAAGGATGGCAAGGACTGCTTTGTCCTGAAATTCCCTAAGGCGAGGAAAGGCGAGTGGGTCGTCAACCGAAAAATGGAGCCTGCGTCCTACGGTAAATGCAAACGTTTTTATTGACACAATGTATGTGACTTAATTCTTATCATTCTTGACCTAGACTACACCCAGAAGCTGTTCGGCTGCTTCCTGGAACTGGCAGAGGGAGTCCGTACCTACCAGGAGGCCCAGGCCACCTACGTTCCCCGCTCACGAGGGAGGCCTCTGTGCAGCGTTTCCCAGAGGCCGAACAAGGAAGCCGCCGTCCTGGCCCACAGGTCCAGGTTCTCGATTTAGCAGTATTGGAACCCTGTGTATGTGGCCGACGGAAACTGTTCCCTGATCCTTCCGACCACACAGCATGGGAGCCTGACACGTCGGCGACGGCCCAGCCTGCCCCAAATCCACCATACAAACTCCTTGTAGGCCGTGAACCTATATTTTCTGAAAAAGGTACATGCCATGTAGCATTTCGGTAAAACTTGCTTTACCTGAACTATCAAGTTGAGACACTCGCGAACCAGCACCCTTTCATTTCAATAACAACGAGCAAGACTAGTTTATTTTCCCCACAACTTGTATCTTTGGGGTCTGTCAGTTGCTGCACTTCGGCAACTCAGTTTGCCACAAAGGGCTTCCGTCGGTTTGCTGCCCCCTTGACCCAGTACGTTGGTACTGTGGAGTCCTTCCAGAGCCGCGTGGAAGCACTTTTCAGGTGTAGAGCTCTCGTGATTTGTGGGATAGGTGCGCACCAATTACGGCTTCCATCATCTTGAGTCGGAGCAGCAAAAGGTATTTAAGAGGGGCAACCCCGGATTTGGACATGAACAAGCTTGTGTTCACTTTCCCCGACTGAGTCTTTGTTGCCATGTATGGCACGGCGCTTTAGGCTTTTGGACTTCGTCTTGTCGCTTTTAAAATCTCGGGTGATCACTCCGGGGACAAACACGTCTCCAATGCAGAGAAGCTCCGTGCACCAGTGCTCCCACACAGCCTGCAGAGACTCCGGCTGGGGGTCATCTCAATTGACTCCGAGCTCCCGCAATCCCTGAAACATTATCTTGACGGTTGCTGTTGTAGGAGCCACACAAATCCAAACGGATCAAAGATTCTCGCCAACACTAAAAGCATGGACCTCTAGCTGTCCAGTCTTGATGACAAGAAATCGATGAGAGAGCTTATCATGTACTCAAACTGGTATGTCTGAGGATTCCAGGCCACTCCCAGGACCTTTCCGAGTCCTGAATGTCCAAGGTCGGCATCGGTGTGTTGGGTCTCTCCATCTTCTAACAAATCTACCAGTTCGAGGCCATTCGACATTCACTTGCAGGTCGCATATTCCGGCTTGATTCAAGATTTTCGCTGCCTCTTCATAGAGCCCCTCGCCTCCTGTCCACTATCAACACCAGTGACGGGGTCATCAATGTACAGTTGGCTCCGTATGGCGTCTGCCGTCTTTGTGAACTGCTCTAGCACGTTTTTGAGATGATGCTGTAATGTTGCAGATAGGAGAAAGGGGCTCGACGTCATGCTGAAGGACACGCGCATCGCCTGATATGACACAATTGGTTGAAGCTCTTCCCCGCATATCGGCATTCTCTCACACCGTATACGAACTGCACCACACTTCGATCGTTGTTCGAGAGAAACACTTGCAGGAAGGCTTTCTGAATGTCCGTGATGATCCCGATGTTCTGAGTGCGGAACTTGATGAGCAGGTCGATCAGCTCCAAATTCGAATTCTGCCCGCTTTCCAGAACTGTGTTCATTGAGAAACGACCTCCAGCGCTCGACAATGCGTCAAATACAACCCTCAATCAGGTCGTTCTGCTTTCATGACGTACGACCACATGGGTGCGGCATGTAGTAGGCTCGACTGCTTGCAGAGCCGTTTCCTTTTTTACCTAGTTCGGCATAGCTCTTTTTTACATAGTCTCCGATGCAGGCATAATGATCCTTGACTATCTGCTCACTGTAGCAGGCAAGTGGTTCGCTATCTAAGATGCCTTACCGCATATCTAGGTTGTAAGTTCCTCGGCCGTTTGAAGCGACACTTCGTACTTGATGATTTTGTTTCTGATGCTGAAGTATGGCTTCATAGTGAGAGGTTGTCGTTTGCTGTTCTTAGATTCCAAGGTGCCCCAGTGCCCAAACAAATCTGAGCTGAGCGGATATTTTTTTGTCGGTCTCCTCCCTCACGATGACCCCCATCACGCTCGTGGCCGACGAAGATTGTCGTAGACTTGGTTGTTCCGACCTGGCCCTGCGGGGTCCATTTGAATACCGTATCCACTGCCATCAGTTTGTGGCTCGGCACATCACGCTTCTGGTGACGACATCCCGGTAGTGATCGGCCCTGACCAGAAGTCCAATGTCATCCTCGACGGCTTTGCCAGGTAAGATGTCAATGATGTTCTTGCCCTCCATCTTCATCTGCGTCGTCACAACATCTGAGGGGGCCATCACAAGGTCAGCGCAGATGCAGGGCATTTTAGGAGCCTCCACCCGGACTTCTCTCCTGTCAAGCCGACTTCTAGCCAAAGCTCCACTTGGCGGCACATCACTTGATTGGCTGTTGCGTTTCCGTCGAAGGTGAAAATCCTGAGGTCCTCTTCACCCAGCACGGAGAGTTGCAGCCTCTCAGCTATGTCAAATCCGACAAACGTGCGCCGATTGCCACCATTCAAAAAAATGTCTGAGGAGCGTGCGCCCCTGACGACCTTCGGCCCACACATATTCCATTTGCAGGAACACCTGGTTCTTGCTTGCTCCGATTGTGTTGTCTTGGATTCTGAGCGATGACGGACTGCAAAACTGCTCCTTCCGCCACCTCCTTCACCACCATGATGGTTGCGCTCCTTTCTGCTTGTGTACTGCGTAGTGTCACATTGGGATTGCACATAACAGTGACGTGTCATCCACCACACCGTACACAGCTCAGTCATCTAGTGCCTCTGCATTCTCGTGATAAGTGCCTTCTTTTCGTGAAATGGAAACTGTGTTGTCAGGGCCTCAGGAACTCAGGACTCAACCAGCGTCCGTTTAGAATCAGATATTTAATCATCTGTCTCGAGCGCCCCTTCCTTTTCTTCATCGTCGTCTTTTCCGGCTCACGCCTCGCAATGACTATAGCTCCTAGCAGGCTAGCACATCTCCCCCTTTTAGCTAAGGGCTAAAGCGTACTATGGGTTTGACTACTCGGCCACTTCGGGTCACAACGTGATCGGAATGTGGGGTCCCATAGGTCGGCTCTGGTGTTCCTTCCGCAATCGCATCTCGCGGTGGAAGGTCAGGTGAATTGGGCACTGTCGGAATCGGGACGAGATGAAATCGGTTCCGACTGAGGTTCCCATCCTGTGTGTTGACGGAGTAGGACCTTGGAGTGTCCACCGACGACTGCACTATTCCAGTTTCGCGTCGATCGGTTATCCACACTCTATCCTCAGGCATCAAAGGTTGAAGCCGGCGGACACCGTGTTGTCGGTCATAGTTACGCTTCTGATTCATGATCCTACGTTCTTCCCAAAGATTGAGGGCTTCTTTATCTACCTGACTTGGCTGAAGAAGGGAGTCAGCCGTTGGTAGAGAAGTACGCAATCTCCGTCCCATTAACAACTCTGCTGGACTGAAGCCGTTACCCAACGGTGTCGAGCAGTAGGCTTGTAACGCGACGTAGCTGTCCCCAGTTCTCTTCAATCTATGTTTGATAATGCCAACAGCAACTTCCACGAAGCCATTACTTTGGGGGTAACGTGGGCTGGATGTTCTGTGTTCAAAACTCCAAGTTTCGGCGAACTTCTGGAACTCTGACCCTTGTATTTTTCGGAATTGTGGTCCGTTATCACTAAAGACTACTTCAGGTGTTCCATGTCTTGCAAAGAAAGACTTCAAGTGAGTTATTATTGTAGTCACCGTCAGACTGTTGAGAAGTGCAATCTCTGGAAACCTTGAAAAGTAGTCGGTGACGAGGAGGTAGTCTTTTCCTTCCAAGTAAAACAGATCCATTGCGACTTTTTGCCATGGTCGATCTGGAAACTTTGATGGAAGCAGTGGTTCGTGTCGGTTGTGTGTTTCTTGGATGCACTGTGTGCATGTGCGTACCACATCTTCCACTTGACGGGAAAGTCCAGGCCACCATACAGACTGTCGGGCACGCGCCCTACACTTGGTAATGCCTTGGTGTCCTTCGTGAAGTCTATGTAGGATGTCACTGCGCATTGACTGAGGAATAATAATGCGGGATCCTCTCATGAGGAGACCGTCTTGCAAAGCTATTTCTGACCTATGAGGCCAGTAATCCCTGCAGTCGGTTTGAACCCCATTCCGTGTCGGCCAGCCTTCTTCACTGTACTCAACCAGCGTCCGTTTAGAATCAGCCATTTAATCATCTGTCTCGAGCGCCCCTTCCTTTTCATCATCGTCGTCTTTTCCGGCTCACGCCTCGCGATGACTATAGCTCCTAGCAGGCTAGCAGAGAAACGGCGGTTTTCTCGGTGCAGGACGTCTCTTCAGACTCCCAGCGACATCCCAGAAGTGTAGGCGTCCGGGCCGTGATTGTCCATGCGACGAAACACGTATGTATTGTCTGCATCGGTTGTTGTGGTAAGCGCCGCCGCCGTTGCAACTCGAGGTTTCTGCACTGTCGATGTCGCTCCGCCAGCGGATACATGCCCTCAGTTACCGGTGGCATCCTTTCACGGCATTCCACCTCATTTCTCAAAAACCTCGCAGCTCATCCTCCAGGTATGTTGAATGCGCGTTTACCCTATGGCTGTACTCCAGGCCCACATCGGCTAGTATTGTTTTACGCAACAGCGTTAGGAGCAGCACTCCATACATTCTCTCTTCGGCCTCGAGGCTGTGAACTTTTTTGAGGCTGTGAACGCCCAGAAACGTTCAGCCTCTCAATGTTTCTGGAGTCGTGAACCGCTCGGACAGCCATCGACTGCGACATGATCCTTGACAATTAGGTCCGTTTGGCCGAATCTTTGGGTAAGAAGGTCGAGGGCAACCTTGTAGTTTTTGGTTGTCAGTTGGAGTTTCTCGATCGCTACGGCAGTCCTACCAATGAGGTAGCTTTTTATGTGCTTATATTTCGCAATGCCGGAAAGAGACTCGTTCTGATGGATCGTTGTGTTGAATTCACCCCAGAAGTCAGGCCATATGCGAATGCCTCCTCCGAATTTCGCGATCTCCAATTTCAGAAGCCTGTCGTCAAGGTATGGTTAAATGAGGGCTGTCCTGAGTTGCTGCCAGGTGTCGAAGAACCAGATGTTGTATTGCTCCTTGTTTTGTGC